CATTCTCTGCACACTTCCATGAGTTACGGGGATGTACATTTGCTGTTTTAAAAACACTTGCCAACCCCAAACCAACGGATCGTTCACACTGAGGCCGGGTCCAGACTGAAGGGCAGAAAATGAAGGGGCGGAGGGTGTGTTCACCTGAGCTCGGTGGGAGGGATTGGGTGCTGCCTCCCTCAGCCTCTGGGCCTCAGCTCGCGGGACAGAGGAGTTAGGACAGAGGGCATCACCCCGAAAGGTGCCGGTGCTCGAGATGGCAGCTGGGGGATGGGGTGCAGGGGGGGTGCACCCAGAGCAGAATCCCAGTCACCGGCCAGGTGGATGGCGCAGAGCCCTCGAAGTCTCCAGGGAAATACAGTCCGGGGTCCCAAGGGCCCCATAAAGTCTGGCTCAGACACTTTGGGCCTGCGACCTCAGCCGGCAGCCCACTCACACGTGGAGAGGCAGCGAGGGCCGGCCTGGGAGCCAACCCTGGGACCCACAGGTAAGTAAGGGGCAGGTCGGGCCAAGGTGGGGGTGAGAAGGGTGGGGTGCCCACCTGGCTGTATGGGAAATGCCACTTAGAACCAGACAGGCCTGGGGAAAGTTTCAGGGTCCTGAGAATTAGATGGGAGGTTCACTAGGACATAGAAGGTTCTGGAAAAGCTAAATAAGCCTGGTCCGTGACAATGCCTGCTCTCTGCCCAGAGGCGTCTGGTACTGATGAGATGAAACCCAGCTTTGGTGAGTGTAAAAGCAGAAACGGGAGGATGATGGGCTAGTGCTGTCTTCCTTGCTGCGGAGGCTGGGCGTTCTTTAACTTTCCTTGAATAATTGGTCCCACTTTAACCAGTTAGGATCCGTGAAGCACCGGTGGCTAGCTCCTTTTGAATTTTCTTATTTTGTAATAATAGTCTCATGACTCATTATTATTATTTTTTTAAATAAAAGATGTTCCAGGAAGAACAAACAAATCATTCTGACTTCTTCCCTCCCCTCTCTCTCTTTCTCCCTCCTTTCTCCCTCTCTCTCTCACTTGATGTTTGCATTCATTTCAGTAATTAAAAGAATTTCTGAGCCCATCCATTGATCACTATTTCTGATGCACCTACTGTGTGTGGAGTTGCTAAAGAAAGTCCCATTAGCTCAGGGATCATGAAGCAGTTCGCACGCCGCGTGGAGGCCCAGCAGGGCCATCTGTAAGCTCGTCCACGCTTGGAGGCCAGAGTGTCCGGGAGAGGCTGCCGGCTCTCCTACACCAAGGCCGTTTCCTTTCCCCCTGCGGAGCGGCAGAGCCAGGGCCGAGCAGAGTCTAGAACACTCCACCCCGTGCAGGCTGCTCCAGGGCTGTGCAGCTATGAACTTGGGAAAGAGCGTGCGGGACGACGGAGACACTGCTTGCTCGACGAGAGGGAGGACCTAGAATGGCTGTCAGGTCCTCTGTGAGCAGCAGCTGTGAAGGGGACACGGTGGCAGTGCCGAGGGAACAGGAGCTAGAGAAGTGGGCAGAGGGACCCAGTCAGCCTGGACGGGCAGCATGATTCCTGCTGCCCCTCAGACCATAAGGCAAAGGGGCAGGAGAGAACAGGGCCCCGGAGGTGTGTTCCTGTTCCGGACCCTGCTGCCCAGTGACCAGCTCCTCCTCTGCAGGGCAGAGGGGAGAGGGGCCAGGAGAGTTAACCGAGTGAACCTGCTGTCCCCTGGACACCAAGTTTCCTTTAGGGGTTAACAGAGGTTAATGCCCTGATCAGCAAGCCACCACAGGCCCAGAGACGGCTCCCTCGGAGCAGCCGGTCCCAGTGTCCTCTTGTGGATTGCACCAAGCTCCTCCCTGAAACACCGATACGTCCCCCCACCTAGACGCCTACTGCAGCATTCTTGAAAAGTCTGAGAACTCCTCCTGTCCCTCGGCAGCCCCTTTGTACCCATGTACACCTGCCCCCAGCCTCACCCCCTTCCTCAAGTCCCACTCAGGACACCGCCTGCTGGAAGTTCAAGTTCATGCTCACATTTCAGTATCTACTCTGCAGGGGGAAAGGTAAGGGCCAAGGTTGTTTTCTCTTGATTCTTGTCCCCTCCCCCCCCCGTTTGTCCTAACAGGTGGCCGTGTCCCTTCTGATTCTTCTGTAGACTAATGAACTTCAAAAGCAGCAACAGAAGCAAGGAAATATTTCCTAATTCTTATTTTCATCCAGAGGTGAATGAAAATATCATCTTGGGAGATAAAAACAAAGCCCTGGTAGGAGCCAAAGGGTAAAGAGATCAGAGGGAGACGGGCTTGTTTTTCATCTGCAGTTATTAGCAGCGTCTCGGAGAGATGATTTGAAATCCATTCACAACTTCTCAGGTGTGGGCAGAACACATAATTAAAGAGGCCATGGAGGGACCTTTTTGGCAAGTCTAGTTACCTACAAAAAATCACAGGTCGGAGAACCCGAAGTGCTGGTAACTTGACCTCCCCAGAGGCCGGCTCTGTCTTGAATGCTTGGTCCGAAAAGCAATCACACCAACCATCTCCAAGAATCGTCTACGCCAACTTCTGGAAATAAGTGAACTTACAATCTTTGGAAATCATTGCAGCCTGAAAATATGACTCACCGAGTGGCCACGATCCAGTTTCCTAAGATGGTCCCAGGCCCGCAAAGCCCCAAATACAGACAGAAGCTTTGGAAAATAAGGGCCAGGTGAACTGGGCCCTGAGCACCAGCCCTCCTTGGGCAGGCCTTGGATCCACGTGGACAGGAAATATCAGCCCTAAAGAGACCTGGCCAGCCCGCCCCTCGCCACCTGGAGGCAAGTGCCTGGGGCTGGGCACCCGGGAAGACCACTGGACAGTGCCAAACCCACAGCTTCTGTGAGCATCACAAGACCTTTGGGAAGGATTGCGACTCTAACCCTTCAGCTGGTCCAGGCTGGAGGAGGGGGTGCGGTTTGGAGCGAGTTAAAGTGGGTGGCCAGCACATTTGGAGATCGGACGCCAACCAGACAGAATTTCAATGAACATACTTAAGCCTTACAATGCACAAGTGGCCCACAGCCACCTCTAGACCCCTCGATTTCTGGGAATTAGAAGATGTTTCAAAGATCACAGTGTTGAGCATTTGTAAATAAAACCCTGATTTTAAAAAGTCTGTTTATACCAAGTCACCAATATCTGATGATATTTCACCTAAAATAATATCCTGTCTTTCCTCTAATATCTTGCCCACCTATCTCCATCCATCTAACTAAAATCCAAGAGAGGCAAATCGGCGCTAAGATCACTTCCCTAAAGCACTCCTTGTTGACTTCCCTTCCCTTCTCTTCGGGAATAAAAGTCTGCCATGAATGTTTCATTAAGAGGAAAACAGTCTTTTCACTGCCGACGACCAGCGGTATGTAGGCTTTTCCTTTGGTAAGGTGGGGTGTGTATGAGTGTGTTTAAAACAGTCCCTATTAATTTCCTGAAACCGACTCTGGCTGGGAGAGCGTGTGGCATTCAGCATAGAGGTCCTCTGCAGAATATGTTAAAGGCAGCGGCTTGGATGGAGAGAGGGCACCAAATGCAGTATGCGTCAAACAGACCATGGCTCAATGAAGTCACTTAGCTATTCAAAACATGTTCAGCCGTCACTCAACCATTCGCACCAAGAATGTTGGGAAGGGGACATGGAATTTGTGCTCTCTCCCAGACGTAACCATTTCCCAAAGAGCAGCTTTGGCTCAGTTTGGGTCAGACCCTGGGGCCACATTAGTTTCTGCCTCTGCCGTCCGATTCTCCCTCTTCTCCCCCACCTCCTGGCCTCCCTCCCTGCATCGCCATCCCATGTCCAGCTTAGCAAACAATCCTGCGGTGCCTGCTTCCCAGACCCGGCCTCCGGTCTTGGTTCACATCAGAAGCAGAGCACATAAACCCCGCTTTCCACGCAGACACATATGCACCTTGGTGCACGTCTCCCTATGGGTGGCTCATGCACACAGACATACAGCTATGCAAATGCCCTCGCTCACATGAAAGTCTGTTGCTAAATGCAGCTCGTATGACCCGCAGAGTTTTTTCTGTGTGTCCCACGGCACACGCCTTCATGCACACCCTGGCCTCACAGCCTCAACACCATGAGGGCCCCCCTGGCCGACAGAACCCTGCACACACGCCTCAGTGGTCAGTGCCAACTACTGACCCCCTCCCTGGCCTCACTGCTCCCCCATTCCCCTCAACCTCCCCATGCCCGCGCCTCCCTCCCTCCCTCCCCCTCCCTCCCTGCACAATGCTGACTCCACTCGCTGCTGGATGACAGACATGTCACTCTGTGTGAAAGGGAATTGGTCCTCAGCCTAACCCGCAAGTGAATTGCTGTTTATTAGAACTTGGGCTTGTTTCCTGTGAGAGACGTATGTATTTTTAGACTTTGTAAACGTTAACACACACACATGCACACGCAGCCAGCCGCCTCGAACGATCTGTGTGGCTCATAGACATTACGAAATGCTCTTGAACTCAGCCTGAGATCCTGGAATAATTAGGATTTACCAAATAAGGATTCTTAGAAATAGCAGGTTTTTTTCTTTTTAAAAAAGAAAGAGATTTAAAGAGGGCGATGCGTCTGAGACTTTCGGAGAGTCAGGGGAGAGGAGAAGGAGGACGTTTTTGAATTCTTCATTGCCAGCAGATGAGCATCACTGAGGGAAGCAATTATTTCCCCTCCTCATAGATGGAGGGCTAAACCCAAAGCAAATCCTAATGATTCCGGTGCAGGCAGAGCCCATTTGACTTTTAAAGACATTCTCTGGTTTCCATCATATCATGGATGGTGCCAATGAAGAGGTCGGGGAAGGGGGCGGTGGAGGGGAGAGAGTGGAGTACGGTTTTTGCTTATTGATTTTCTTTCCTCTGAAACTAACCCGACCAACCTTGATCCGTGGTGGAAGGGAGGGAAGTAAGAAAATGGTGGAATGTAAAGGGGACTTATTTGGAGGAGGGTGGGGAGGGGGAATGGGGAGGGGAGGGGCGGGGGAGGAGGAAATGAGAAATCAAATACCTTCTAAGCAGCAGGTTCTCCATAACCCAGAATGGGTCATAACTTCCTCGTTCTTTTTGCTGGTTTCATTCTCACTGACACTTTTCGTCTTGCAAACCCCCCTGGAGTACAGCCAATAGTCCGTCCCCACAGCTATAGTCATCAGGCTGAAGGCAGCGAAAGCACCAACGGTGGTTAAAAGCATCTGAACACCTCGATCAAACAGCCCCATAATTCTTCATTATATAAACACCCAACCGACTTCGGGTTCTCAGGAGAGTGTGTGTGAGGGTGTGAGTACCAACGCCAAAAAAAAAAAAATTAAAGATAATTCCACTAATAATAAAATGGATAGATGTGTGAATTGAGTGTGGAGAGATTAAAAAAAAAGGAAGGTAAGAAAGCTCACGGAAGAGTGTAAATTATAAAGATCACACGGGAAGAGAGGCTTGCCTTTTGAGATCAGAAACTGTTCCAGTTGCAGTGATTAAAAAAAAAAAGAAAAAATAAAAATAAAAAGACACCCCCCACCCCCCCAAGTGAGATGCCTTAATCTCTTTTCCTAAAATTCTGGTCTCCAGTTTCCATATGTGATAGCTAATTTGGAGATGGCTTCCACAGTGAACCAGGCAGCGGCCGAGGGCTCAACACCATCTCTCATGGTCGGGACCTGGACAGTTAGAGATCCGAAGAGCCCAGATGCAACCTTCGCTCTTGGTTCTCGGCTCTGCGGCCTGCGCCATGAAAATCCTTGGCTTCGCCAGTTCTCTTCCTTGGGGGGTCCCGGGCGCTGGCGTTTCAGACCCGGCTGCCCAGTATTCGGTAAGCCCTTGGTCTCAGCGGCACAGGTGCGGGGGTCTCGCCTTCCATGGCTCGGCCCGGGCGGCGGCGGCGGCGGCAGGGCGGGCAGGCGCGGCGGCGGCGGCGGCGGCAGGACGAGCAGCGGCGGCGGGTATTGTTGTTGGTGGCGGGGGCAGTGTTGGCGAAGTGGGGGAGGGAGGGGGTTTCTCCCGGAGAGTCGAGGCGGGCTTCCCTCCCCCTATCTGCAAAGCTCCTGGAAGCCGGGGAGCCGGCGTCTTGCTGCAGGATGGGCCGCCGCCTGCCCCCTCGCTGCCCGCGCGGCCCCCGGCGGAGGCGCGGCCACCTACTGCATTCCCCGCGGTGCTGAACTGGACAGCTCCCTGCGCGCGCCGCGCTCCGCGGCCCGAGGGCGGCCGGCCAGGAGGGGGGCGCCGGCCCGAGTCCTCCCTCCCGCGGGGCAGCCGGGCCAGGGCCGAGCGGGGCCGCGCGCCTGCTCCTGCTCCTCTCCCCCGGCCTCGAATGAGCGCTTCCCGGGCTCCCGGAGCTCAGAGGAAGGCGTAGCCAGAGATCGCTCGCTCCCTCTCCCTCTCCCTCGCTCGCACTCTCCCTGCCCTCCCCCCTTGGTGTTCCTTCCAGCTCAGCCTCCTTCTCATGCCATCCCTACGTGCCCAGAGCTTCAAATACAACCCTCCCAGCACCAGCAGACGGGCACCAAACTTCAGCCAGCCGTTCCTCTGCCTGGAAGTGGTGGCAATGGGACCCGCATGGTAATTACCGACCCGCGCCCCGTGTTGTTCTAGAGCCTCTGTCCTCGCGGCTTTTCGGTGGACCTGTTTGGGTTTATGGGCTTGGTAGATGCACCTCCTCTTGGTCGGTCCCCTCTCCCCTCTTTGTCTTTCCCCGGCGATCGGGGGGTGCGCATTGTACTGTCTGTGTCTCTCGGCAGTTTTCCGTGAAATCCCGAATCTTGCTTCTACGAGCAGACATTTTGGAAAGATTATTCATGGATCAGGGTGCGAAAGGGTGACTGGTAACTGGGGCTTGGGCCATGATTTTCATTTCGAGGATAAACATGTTTGCAGGGGGAGTGGGCGAGATGCGTATCTTTCCGAGTTTCCTCTGTCATTCATAAACGGGGCTTGGAAGAGAGAAAGCATCTCGCTGCTAGAACAGCTGAGCACCTCAGCGCCCCTCCCCCTGCTCAGCGGAATCGTGTCCCTGGGTTGGTCTCCAGCATCACCGCTTGTTTCTCTATGTGCAACTTTCCTCTGATGTGACCCTGGGAAAAAGCAGCACACTAATTCCTGCTGCTGGTGATGACATCCCCCCCCCCATCAGTTTCATAGTTAAGTGAATGAGAGCACATGGGGTGTGACGTGGGTGCGTGCCTTTTATTTATTTATTTATTTTTGGTGGGGGGAGCTTGGAGAGAAGCCGTGAGTTTGATGGGTCAGTTGGGGGAGGGTTCGAGATGTTTCCATCTCAAAGCTCAACCCTTCCCTATTTTCTTTCCTTTCTCCCCACTTTTTGTGTTGAGATCATTTGCCTGATAAGTTCTCAGTGGTCTGGTGGTTATGGAAGAGTAGATGAATAAAATGACTGAATTAAAATCCGATTCTTCAGCGTGGAAAGCCCTTTGCCTGACTCCAAGCCGATTGGCAGGTAGGGCCCGTGCGTTCTTTTCAGTGTGGAAAAACTACCTGTTTCTCCACCTTGCACAGAACTTTCCTTTCTTCCACCCTCCTCCTGGGAAGGCTTTGCTTCTGGTACAGGAAGAGGAGACAAGAACCGGGACTCTCTCAGCTCTGCCCAGTGCCTGCAGGCTGAGGGTAAAGATTGCTCCAATTTGGTTTCTGTCCTGTGAGGACGAGCTGGGAGCTGGGAGGGGAGGGGCTGGTCTGCGGATCCCACCAGGCAGGGGACCTAGCAGTTCACCAGTGGCCCCAGTGGGCCATTTTCCTTGGTTGCTGTCCTTGAGGAAAACAGGAGGGGCAGGCACCCAGGCCTCTGAGGTCCCCTGGGCTGTTTGGGGGGTGGAGAGAGCCTTGGGTGAGGTCACATGGCCTGGGAGGCTCGCCCTCACTCATGCCTGTCACCTTGGATGCCTTTGACCATCAGGAAGTCCCTTCACACTGGGGGTAGGGCCCTTCTTCTCATCCCCTACCCCTGAACCTTCTGCTTAAAAGGAACCAGGAGCTCTGAAACCTCCATTTGTCTGTAGAAACAGCTCGCCCCAAGCCACCGATGGTGGCTGCAGCTTTAGCAGCATTTGATTAATCTTCTGGCCAGATCATCATTGAGAAAAGCACGGGGGCGGGGGGGACAGCTCTTCAGCTGCCTGCAGGGAGAGATCAGAGACTTCTGGAGACCGGGCAGGCCCTGGAGCACAGCTTCACCCCGCTGCTCGGTGCCCGCAGGGCTCCCAACAAGTTGGCCCTCCGGAGCTTCAGTCTCACTGTGTGTGAAATGGGTACCGTAGAACCTGCCCACCCCGTTCTGAAACGGCTCCCGGCTTCCCATCACGGCCACCCGTTGAGACCTCTGTGATCATGTCTGCGGCTCTTTATTGGGGGTGTGTGGTCCCTCATTACCTTGGAGGTCAAGTCTGGGTCTCGTTCTCTATCTCATCTTTGGGCCCTAACGCAGGGCTGGTCCCAGTGGAAGCTGGCTGGTGACAGTGAGGACCGGGTGGTAGAAGACAGTGATGGCTTCGGCACATGCGGATGCTCAGCAAGGGCAGCTTTCCTCTTCCCCCCACTTTACATGCAGAGCGTCTTCAGTTTCTTTGATGGAACGCTGGTGCCATGCACCTCCCCCTCCCCATCCAGCTGTCCCCTGTAGGTCCCTTCTGCAGAGAAGGCAAGGCCACCCGGGAAGACTTGGCTTGGCATGGGCCCGTCAGAAGGTTGGGACCCGCCAGGCACACGTACTTAGTGCTGCTGAACGGATGCTCTGGGGGAGCAGCTTTGTGAGCCCACGGTTCGTTACTTGGGAAGGGCTTAGAGGAAATTAGCCGAAATGCCACAGGCCTATTTTGAGCCGCTTCTCTGATGGAGTGGAAATAACAGGGGATTTGGGCGCAGCGGACCTGGCCTTGAAGCACAAGTCTGCCGTTTCCTGTTTGACCTTGGGCCCTCACTTAACCCCTCTGGAAATTGGCCTTTTTGCCTATCGAGGAGCAGCATGGATAAGGGTGTCAGGATGCGGTGGTCAGTGCTCCATGTGGGTAGCGATGACACCAGCTAGTGTTCAGTGGGCACGGGCAGTCGCCAGGCCCTCACCTGAGTTGGACCCCACAGCAGTCCTGTGAGGAAGGTACTCTCATCATTCCCATTTTACAGATGAGAAAACTGAGTTGCATAAGGGTTCACGTATCTGGCACATGGTTGTGTTGTTAGTGACCGGAGGAGTGGGGAGCCTTGTCCAGCAGCCTGACTCAAGAGCCTGTCTTGACGGCCGTGCCCTGGCCCCGGAGACAAGCTCTCCACGTTACAAAGGGCTGTTTACTTTGCACCCACAGATTTGCAAGCATTTATGGAGTGACTTCCAGGTGCCAGGCATTTTCACACAGATGTTCACACTTGACTCTCAAACCATCCTGCAAACGCTCGGTAATGACTTTTCCTATAGCTGAATAAACAAAGGCTCGGTGAGGTCACATCCCAAATCCCAAGGTCATACATCAAGTCCTGCAACCGCAGAGATATGAACACTGCAGGGTTTCAAGTTCTGTTAGCACCAAGTCCAAAGTTGATCCTTTTATTCATTATTCATTCAGAGAATTGAGCACCTACTGTGTGTCAATGCCCAAGAGGGTGATAGGGCAGACATGATCACTGCCTCCAGGCTCTGCAGAGGAGCAGGAGGGGCAGAGAGTTGGGAGTCCACGCCCAGGAGACGGAACCGGTGCGGGATGTTGTGGGGCCACACCAACCGCGGTGGGGAGGACATCTTTTTTTTTTTTTTTTTAGGAGGGGACATTTAATCTGCCGCGTGGGAATGAGGAAGAGGTAGCCAGGTCAAGGGGGGTTGGGTAGGTGGGCGGGAGGGGGCTCCAGGCTGGGAGAGCTGCCGGTGCAAAGGCTCAGAGGTGTGGGAAAGATGACTGGCAGTTTGGGGACAAAATACTAAGTCAGGTGGATCCTGAGAAGAGGATGAGAATGTTCTAGACTAAGCACCTGGAGGCCGTAGAGTGGAGGCTGGGGTAACCTGGGGGAGGCGGGTGGGGATCGGAGGCTTGAGAACCAAACCCGGAGGCAGGGAGGCTGTCAGGCGGGTGCTGTGTCTCCACGCTCCAGAGGGTCAGGCCTGGGGCCGGTGTGGGCAGTGGGGAGGGGGAGGGGGGTGGTCAGAGGCGTTTAGGAAGAATCGATCCAGGCGGGCTGAGCAACTGTGAGGAAGGCGTAGGCCGGCACGTGGGCGCTGCAGGGAGCCGGAAAGAGCCAAGGACTCTGCTTTGGTCATTTAGCCAGTGTCTGCCACATGCTGTCCCCTTCCTGCCCTGTTCCTGTCTCTCACTTTCGGGGTGCTAGCTAAGTAATTAGGAATGGATCTAATTCATGCCATTGCATTCTGGTGCCCCTAGAATGCAAGCATCTTGAAGGCAGAGATTTTGGTCTGCTTCATTCATATTTCCAGCCCTCAGAACAATGCCTGGCACATAATAGGTGCTTAATAAAAATGGATTACTTTACTGCTATAAAAGCCCAAATGCATGTTTTCTCTGGGCCAGGCATTGGGCTGAGGTGCTGGGGATGCAAATGCGGTCAAAATACCCACATCGTGGAGGGCGACAAGCAGACAGCTAATCCAGGACCCTCTGGCCAGCCTGGGAGAGAGCTGTGGGAGGCTGACAGTCCCCGCTGTGTGCTCCTGGGGAACTTGTGCTTTCCTCTTGTGGCACTTTTCCCTGTCTTTGGAGCTGCTCTTTGATGTCTGAGCTTGTCTGGCACATAGTAGGTCTGTGGTATGTTTTTGATGAATGAATGAACAGTGAATAGGTGTGCCCTGCAGATGCAGAGGCATGGAGCTGTACATGGGGAGCCTTGAGGATCTGGAACGGCTGGAGGAGATGGAAGGGAGGCTGAGCTGAGGC